GAAACAGCATCGAGGTTGTGTCCTGGCGTGCTGACGCTAGACATAGTGGGAGCCATAGCCTCGAGTTCCCGACGGACTATTCTGGTGACGTTTTCTGGCGCTGGTGGTTGGTGTAGTGTGGGCAAATCTTCGCAAGAGGACGTAGCCGCCGTGTTGGGAAGGCGGTCAAATCGGTGAACTATGCGCCTACTTTTTGCCTGTTCGAAGCGACGACATGCTTCGATGACCGACTTCACCGTCGAGCAGTCCTTGCACAGGAGAAAATTGAAGGCTGTCATCCGCAATTCCTTTCAGGATGTGTCCGACTTTGTCCTCGTCGAGCATGTCCTTGTCGACCTTGCGGCACAAAGCCAACACGTCCTGGATGTACGCGATGTACGGCTCTGTGGATGTCTGGGCACGAGTCGCAAGCTCTTTCTTTGCGGCCACTTGACGTCCGATGGGTTTCCCAAATAGATAGTGCAATTTCTGCTTACAGACGTCCCAGCTAGTCAACTCTTCTTGATGTGTCTCGTACCAGAGTTTTGCCGTGCCATGCAAGTAGAAGATGATGTTCACCAACATAAGCGTCGGACCCTAATTGTTGCTGCTGCTGACGCGCTCATATTGAACCAGCCAGTCATCGACGTCTATGCCACTTGTGCCGTTGAATGGACCTGGGTCACGAGGTTGCACCACAACGATCGGCTGCGGGGCTGACGGATCTTGTTGACATTGAGTAGCCTGGTCAGTCATCGTGGTAGCTGCAATGCGCCGTCCGCTGCGAAGATCCAGCTCGTTGGGCTGTATAGCGAGTGGTACCCCGCACCTTCCACCAATGATGTTACGGGGAATAAAGTATACACTGGTGAGCAAATGCGTACTGGCGAATATACTGGCGAGCTAATGCGTACGACGCTGCTGCAGTCCGAGCACGTTCCCGTTCAGCACTTCATCGTCGTCATCCTCAGGCATCTACTTAGCCCGTGACAATATTCGTCTAGTCACAGTCAAAAAACGCCGAAGTTTGACATAATTGTGCCAGGTCGAAAGTTTTGTGCAGTTAACGCGCTACTGTCGTCTAGTGGCTAAAATGCGCGGCTGCTGACTCGCAGGTCGCATGATCAAATCTCGGCTGCGGCGGCTGCATTCTCTATGGAGGCGAAAATGCTGTAGGCTCGTGTGCTTAGATAAAGTTGCACGTTAAAAAACGCCAGGTTGTCGAAATTTCTGGAGCTCCACACTACGGCGTGTATCATGATCATATGGTGGTTTGGGGACGTTAAAACTCACATATCTATTACAGAAGCTTTCTGCAGTTCACGTTTCTTTGTATTGCGATATTAAGCCGTTACAAATATAATAAACGTGCACAGTGCGTGCATGTACGTGTTAGTGATATCAACGCCTCCTAGAAAAAGTATGCCTGGAACGTCGCTCTATTTTCGATTGGCAGCTTCCTGACAGCATGCAATCTCGGAGGGCATGTCTCCTGCCGCGCGTTGCGACCATCCACCGCGTGCGAACGCTCGCCTTCATACCGCTCAGTCACGCAACATTACCGTGCCGCTCTGTCAAGTGCATAGAGTTTCTTACAATAATTACCTAGAGAGGAATCTGGCGCTGTGATCGTCTACTCTCATGCGAAGTATGGAAAGTACAGGCTTCGGATTGGATCGCGTTAGCTATTGAACTGTCCACGGATCTTCTTTTTTGCAGTTTCAGTTTCTTCATTCGCGTAGAGCAGGTAGTGGGGTGGGTGCAAAGGACTGAAGCTGCGCCTTTGTTGATCAAAGAAGCTGGAAACTGCTAGGCGTCTCAATTTACTGCAACGCTGGAGGTGTATAAGTCGTGGTTTACAGTTTAAGCGAAGCGTCGTCCACTCACCGCTACGCATAGATGTAGCGTTTTATGCCAGTGCAAAATATATTACATCAAGTTCACGTTTGTTGTAAGTGCTTCTTGCCAAAACTCGTTGAAATCAACTGCAAAACCACAGCGACGTGAAGTAGACGCACGGCCAGGCTCTCCTGAGTCGACATCACAACAAAAAGAGAGGTGCGCTGGTGGCAGGCCACTGGAACATACGCACCTGGCATAACAGCAGACAAAAGGTTAAGTGTTTCCCACTTAATACTCTGTTATTATTTCCATAAATAGATATTGGGTACTTTCGAGGGCAAACCAAGAATGTTTGTTTTGAAATGTTTAAAGAATACTTCATTACATCTTGATGTCAATTCTGGAACGCAATGGCAGAGCAATGCATACCCTGTTGGTTAAATTTGTCCAGGCTTCATTTCTACCACCTAGTCACAAAAACTGTTTGCGATGAAGTTCGCGTACAAAATGATTAGGCAAGTTTGAATTTATTAGAATTCATATTACTTTGTGTTAGTCTCGGAAAAGAAGCGTCGCGAATCTCAAGAACGTGATCCATCCGAAGAAGATCCGAAGCCTGTACTTCCCTTCATTCTCAGTTGGGCACAAGCGCCGCAGAAGGAGCCCGCGTAGACACCAGCGCCAGATTCTACTCTAGGCATTATTGTATCGAACTCTATGGCCAAGTGATATCACAGCTGCTCGGAGGCAATTGTGACAGAATCGCTTTGTTCGCAGGAGGCGGCCACCAGAGGCGTTTCCCTTCGTACCGAATGTGGAAGGTAAAATCGGAGGGTAGGGCGGCACGTTCGCAGCTAGAGTTCGCGGCTCACGTTTCAGGCATAAGTTTTTATGAGGCATTGGTCATATTATATCCTAATATTTCCAAGCGGACTGTGAAAAAGTATGGTAATGCTTTGGTATCTAACACTACAGGCATATATATACGCTTGTCACTGCTGTAAATCTGAATAACTGGCGTCGCGCTTAAATGAACACAGTAAGTGTACTCATTCGCAAGCTTTTATATATTCGTATCTCCGTTGTTTGGCTTGCACCGCGAAAAACGGCGGACGTCGCTGCTACACCAAGTACGTGAGCTAATATCTTGACGTCATTTCAATGTCTTTTCCCTAGGTAGGTTTTCAATTTTTCCCGTGTGGCCACGGAGTGCCCAATACATCACTTTCTTGATCATGTTCCTTCCCAACTATTTTATTCTCGGCACTCGTATCACAGACCTTATCCCATGCCGTGCCTACAAGGACAATAGTTCCACAAAAAACAGGGTTCGCGCAGTTATGTCCGTTCTTCGTTGCTCCTATTTGGAATGGTGCAGGTATGATTGATATGTCACTGGTGAGTAAAGCCATCGTTACGAGATTATCAGAGTGATGTTCACCAAAAAGAACATTCTGCGGCAACTCAAAGTGGTAGGTATTCCCTGGGCGATCTTTGGGGCGTTCGCCTGTCTTCACTGGGAAAGTATGTTGAGCACCTCATCAAAGCGCACTCGTTCGCCGCCGAGTACGTGCAGTAGGCGTTGCAAAACAATAAATATCAGTATCTATGCTGCTTTCAAGAGATATATAGTTTTTGGACAAAACAATGTGACTGCGTACGGGCTGATGCGCCAGCCTATGTCTACGCCTTGGCACTGAAGGGCTATGAGAGTCTACCTGAAACAACAACTGACATGAGCCCGACATTGCACGTTGTTCTAAGCATTGTGAAGATGGAGGCAGCCACGACAGTATAAAGCTTTGATTTGTTCAACGCAAGGAACTGAGTCCTAAACAGCAATAATGAATAATGAGGTGTTTGAGAAGATGAATAATTTTTGAGGCAGTCTTCCTGCTTGTCAAAAGTGACAGAAAGAAAAAATCCAAACTAATCCAATCTTTTAAGGCCTAATGAATGTGAAAAGAAAGTTCTAAAACAACAGCTCATAGACTGAAATCTGGAGTCTGATCAGAAAACTATGTCAGCAGGGCATGAAAACAGCAGAAAAAAAACCTTCACAGTAGAGTAGTGCTCAAGTCTGGAATTATTAAAAAGGAAGTTAAGCACTTGTCATCTAATGAGATGTCACGACAGGCATACTCTTATGAACAGTTGTTTCCCTCCTTGGTTTTGGTTTGCAGCCATACATAACATCTGAATTGTACCTGTGATAACGCACGAGAAGTGTCACCAACATGGACTCGTTGTATGAGCAGCTGGTATGTGTTTAGTGAATAGATATGAACCCATCGTTCGTAGCTTTGTTATGCACGCTTACGTGCCAGCTGGATGGTTCGTGTTTTATATCATGACAGAAGCCGCCATTATGGTCTTTTTATTATGGGAATATCCAGTGAGTATTCCTATAAATAGAGCAAGAAAGTGCACTTGACAGTGTGCTTAGTTATGCGACATAGCTTCCAAGGTGTTTTGATGCTTACAAGTGCAGAAAAGTGCTTCTGGGGGCACAGTGGCATTGAAAATGTGTTACCAGTTGTCGCTTCGATTTTACATAAAGTATTTATGTTTGTTTGAAACCCAGTTGTAGAAACACTTGTGTACAGTAGCACTGCTAACAGTAACATGCGGAAAGAATTCTGGAAATCAACACAAAAGCTCTAGAATAAGCTAAGGACCTCTCAGTATGCTATGAGATGAACAATGATAAGCATACTTACAAGAGATAAAGAAGGCAGCGGAATGGATCAAGGAACACGACAATATCCTTGTAGACATTTAGATAAAAAGCTTGGCCTGGGTAATTGATGTCAAGAGGACATATGGTTCATTACAGAGACAAAATGTGTGAAATGATAGGAAAGGCAGTAGAAGTCAGAAATCTTGAGGCTTAAAATGCACTCGGCTCGCAACCAGAAGGTGGGTTGGAGATCGTTGGTGAGGCTGTCATCCTGCAATGAACTTAAGGCACGTTCGATTAATTTGCTTCAGTTTAGAAATAAATGCGTGCTGCTGAATTTGCATTTAGCTGCTTTTTCTAATAAAATTGACTTCTACTTTTCAGATTCCAAAATTTGCAGGCACATCCTTCAATTATAGCGTCTGTGTGTTTGGCCGCAACAGACACATATAACACTGATTTAAAACAATATGCAGAAAATTATGCGTCACAATAAATGTTCGTTCGGTTAATATTTATTATGTATCATCTCCTTTGTACATGTGTCACTTGAGAATGTATAACAGTTAACAGTGCACGCTTTCTTACACTTGACCATTTCTGTTTTCATTGTGGTCAACCGTACTCAAACCTACTCCTCACAAATATTGTTTTCGTGGCGTCCTTGAAGCACAGGAGACATCGTAATAAAAAGATTGCTTTACTCAACCAGAAGAATACACTCAAATGCCGCACAGTCGAAACGCGCAAGACTCTCTTCATCAAAATTGTCGTCTTGTCTCTTTAGCTACAACAGAACACGTGCATATCGTGTTGTAGCTAGCGATACACAAACACAATTGTAACAGAAGGTCTCTTTAAACCTCTGTTGTGTCGTCAAGCCTCCAATTGCCTAATATATTGTTTCATTTGTACACATTTAATTGTGTTAGGTAATTATCTGTATTATTAGGTAAAGTAAAAAATATTTATTTTATTCTAGCTTTCTATTTACGATTACAATTTTCTTCAAAGTTTAAACTTTTCTGTTAGCACGTATTTTTGTGTTATTATGTTTGGTCTGCATTTTTTATTCAATACGCTCACACAGAGTCACCTCTCTTCCGTTATTCATTTGCTTCACTGAAGTGGCACTTTTCCAGTGTCTCATACTAGTTTCTTTATGATGTATAACTTGCCTATTCGTAGAGATGTCAACTTGTCACAGACCGACTTTACGCATAGATGGTTGTCACTTCTCATTTTTTTGAGTGAACAATGAGTTGAAATGCACCCGTTCCTTCACCATTCTGGCCTCTCCTATGCTGTTGCGATCAGCTATAACCCTGAGACCCTGAGACAATTCCACGAAAAACACGTGAACTCATGCAAAACACACGATCGACAGCACAAACAATATACGTATGAGCATTATGCTTGATCTCATTTGAAAGTAAGATGAAACAATCATACTACTCAATGTGCAGTGATGAAAGAAACCGTCAGAAGAATTTTTTCGACTTCATTATTGTGTACACAGTAGGGCAGTTGAACCTGGCCATTACATCAAGGGCTGACCCGGATCCAACAACATTTCTCACACCATGGCTCAATTTGTTCCACAGGTGGACGCCATAGCTGTTTGCTACAGCCTCAAACACCGAACCAGTTTTGCTGGGCTGGAAAAACGACATCCAAGCATCGTATCCAATCGCAAAAAATGTTTCGCGCTCTCTAAACCGGACCACTTTTCTCCCATTGCTCCATGAGTAGTAGACCCGTCCCAAGAGCGATGGGCCACAGCTACCCCAACGAACAGCGCTGTACTCTTCAGCGCACCTCTTGAGCGCTTCACCAATGAATGGATGTGCCTTATGAAAATATAGCACGCTGTTAGTCAGTTGGCCAGTGACTTCGAACATTACGCTGTTGTTTAGTTCTAGAAGGCTGTTAAGCACAATGACATCAAGGTCTAGGTAGATTCCGCCATACTTCCACAATACTGCTAGTCTGATGCCGTCACTGAGATCTTCTATCCGATAAGGGCCCATGGTCCAGTTTCGGGACTTGTACCAAGAATATATAGGAGTGTCACTAAATGTGTCCGTCAAATTAGGTTTGAAGCTAGCAAAGTTTTCCAGCGAGGACAACGCCTTATAATAGTCACAGTCTGCAGATAGCTGGCCTGTGGTCAGCAGAATGACACGTGCAATTGGGTTGTGCAACGAAGCTGACTCGATGGAGCATGCCTGGCGACCCTTTAGGCAAGTTTCATTTGAGCTCTCGACAAACCATATTATGATGTCATCGGTATGAATGATGACGTCAGAAATGATGGATTGGTGTCGCTGGAGACACTTTGACAGTAGAGGAAAATTGGTGATACCTGCAAGAAAACACAGTAAAAAAGCGCATAAGTATATTGTCTGTATTAAGATTAGCATTATACAGTTTTCACACTCTGAACATTAAAACATTAGACATGCGCCTGAACCTGAACATTACCTGAACCTGAACCTGAGTGTTCACACTCTGAATGCTCAGAGTGTGAACATTCACACTCTGAGCGTTAAAACATGCGCCACTGGTTGAAAGAGCTTAATCTCTGGGTATCTTCTAATAAACTAAAAATAAATGTTAAAAAGACAAAGTTCATGCTTTTCTATCCTAAAAATAAAGAAGTAGATTAGATTATGAAACTATACTACGGCGATTCGCAACTAGATCTAGTACACAATCATTCGTTTCTAGGCGTTTCTTTTCAATCAAATTTAAGTTGGTCAATACACGTGAACAATGTAAGGATGAAGGTAGCAAAGTCTATAGGCATGTTGAACCGTTTACGTAACTTTTTAACAACTAACTTAAAGAAGAAATTGTATTTTTCCATAGTACATTCTCATTTTAGTTACTGCTCGTTAGTGTGGGGAACAGGAATTAAGACTGATAATGAAAAGCTTTCTTCTTTACAAAGGAAAGCAGTCAGACTGCTTAATTCGGGGTATAATGTAGATGAGTCAGCTCTCATGTTAAAGTACAGAATTCCACAATACTGCCTTGTTTACAAAATAAAATTGTCAAAGTACATATATTGCGAAGTATCGGGAGACTGGGGTTCATTTAGCCATCGCTATTTAAGCAGGAACACCGGCCACGAATTCGTAAAACACAACATAGTTGTGGAAAGAACACGCACAAACTATGGAATGCAAACAATAGACTTCCAACTTATGAAGTTATGTAATGAGCATCCTGCAATAGTTGATTTAGCACGATCGGGCACCAACTCAAAAAAAATTCAAAATGAAAATTCGGTCTCTCTTTAACACTTAGGATAAATGCACTCTCAGCACGGTAGGGTGAGCTACAGTCTCTCATACTAGTTGTATGTATATATTTTTGTCTATATATATATATATATATATATATATATATATATATATGTTTATGTATGCTCAGCAATGAATACTATTGTTATATTGGTTATTTGTATTGCTCTTTTTATTTTGTATGTATATATTTTGTGTATGTCTATATGTTATATGTGCTCAGCAATGATTTCTATTGTTACAATAGTGATTTCTTTTGTTCCTTTTTTTATTTGTATGTATATATATTATGTATGTATATATGTTTATGTGTGCGCATTGCAATAATTTATATTGTTTCTATTGCTACTGTTACGCCCAGCGCGAGCAGGACCATGTCAGGGGGCTAACCACCTCCTTTTGTCCTGACCGCGGGCAATGCTTTTTTGTACTGTCCGAAAAATGAATAAAAAAAATTAGCCAGTGGAAAAAAGCAGCTGTGACGCGTCTGCAGAACAGTTAAGGACCCAACGCACATAAACGAGAAAAGAAGACAGAACAGAGTATCAATCACTAAAGTGGGCTCCGTAGAGCAAGGAGTGGAAAGGCAGTGAGGCCCCACTAGAGAAGAATTGTCCCTTACTAAATCGTGTTTCTGGGCTAGTTAATTCATGGTGGTGAAAAGCTGAACACGCAACCCACCTAGATGAAAAAAAAAGAACAATAACGCCATGTCTGCGCGGAAAGCACAGCAGAATGACAGAGGAACCTGGAAGAGCGCCATTTCTAGAAATCTCTGTAAACACTCCTTGGACTACAAGCACGCTTGCAAGCTTGCACCAAAATTAGTATGGAAGGGTAAGCTGGTTTAAAGAATATGTCATGCTGGTCAAGACATGACTAATGTCACAACCTCGTCGCGTATGTCGTCTAACAGATTCCTTCAAACAGCCGCACGTACCCGTGGGCTAGTATGCGCCACTTGTATACCATGTGGCACTATAATAATAATAGTAGTAATAATAATAATAATAATAATAATAATAATAATAATAATAATAATAATAATAATAATAATAATGACTTTATTTCGCATCAAGGATACATGATGCAGGAGACCTGCAGAAAAAGCTGGCGTGATGCCAGCTTGACAAGGCCGTAGGCCCCCCTTCCCCCTCCCCGAACATATCGCAGCAGCGGTAACACTTTCATAAAAACATTCGGAATCATACGCGTAAAATAAACAGGTTTATGACAAGAAAGAAATCATCACTGTACATGTGTGATAAAACGAAACGTGTAATGCTTAAACAACAACGACAAAAAAATCTATTTCAAAAGATGCAAAAAATGTTGGCGTATTTGCCTTAAAAAAGGAAGCATTTGCGCAATACATCCGAGCGAAGCATGTACCACGCAAATGAGCAATCACCACTGTACAGGTGTAACATATTAGTACATATAATGCTATAAACAAATAATTTCGCTATGTGAAATACAGGCGCATTTGCCTTGCAAAACACAGAAAAAGCATCATAAAAGAAATATGCCTAATTTATTGCTTTGGCAACACCACAAATGCAAACTCATTTCCTAAAACAGAAAAAACAAACAAGACACCAAAAACATATCGTGAAAAAAACACAAAGCAGTATACAAAATACACGTCAACAAAAACAAAATACAAAAATACATTCTTTAGAAAATTACAAGTAACAGAAACGAGTGATCATGACATCTGGAGGAAATGATTCCGCATTTGTTTAAAGGTGATTTTTTCTAAGTCAATTTCGTTATCCCTAAGTTCATTTAGTAACCTTGGAAGTTTATTTCCCAACGATTGAAGACCGTATGTGGTTCTAAAGGTTCGAACAGTCCACACTTCATTTTTCCGGGTATTATACGTAGGCTGGTTGAGTATTAAAACTGCCAACTGCTTTAGAAACAGGTTAGAGTTTTTTATGTCTTGCTTATATTTCTTGGACAGAAGAAAATCATACATTTCTATTACTGGCATTAGGTTGTATTTTTCAAATAAGGAACGAGTATGATAAGTACGTGGCACGTTCTCTACCGCCCGTACAAACCTTTTTTGCAACATATGAAGTTTGTTTATGTTTTCTTTAGAAGTTAGAGCCCAAACTAGATGGCAGTTTTGATTCTTGATAAAAATAAGGTAATGTAAATTAACAACAAAATATTCCGAGGAAGCAAGTGCTTGTTTCGGTACACAAGGCCGACTACCTGAGAGACCTTCGTAGCTAAGAAGTGTATGTGGTGATCCCATGATAATGTTTCTTGAAATATTACTCCTAATATTTTAAGAGAAGGGACTGTCTCGACAGGGGTGGAATTTGAAAAGATCGTTTGTTTTACAATTTCCGCTTTATTTTTAGCATGAAATACCATAGCCTTAGTTTTTGCAACATTTATTTTTAGACCTTTTCTCTTGTCCAATTTTCTAATCTAATCAGCAGTAGATTTGCATGTGTTATTAATTCGTTCACTGATTTTCCTGTTAAAAATATATTCGTATCATCTGCATATATTATAAATTTTACGTTAGAGGAGGTGTTCACGATACCATTAACCCACGCTTTGTGGAAAAGGCCGCCTTCTTGAAGTTCAATGTGCTTAAGGGTGCACATGGAGATATTCATGGGATCGGCTACAGCATTACTGTTCGCAATTATAATATAATTCTTTTCAGGATTTAGGGACACTTTATATGCCAGCACATCCATTTCTGCAACAGTTAATTTGTAAATTTGTGATCTCAAAGATCGCTCCTGATTGGCGTGCTTGTAGTCGATCATAACGTCTTCGGCTACGCTGTTGAACACGTTGGAGTTTCGATTGAGAAAAATACTGTTGTATGCAGTTACCTTACAGTTCTCGAGAAAGAGGCGAACGGCATCGCGCAGAATTTTCTGCGATAGACTTGGTGATGAAGCGGCTTTCGATGAGATCTGTCTTTTTCAGTGTGAGACGGTCACCATAACCAACCTTCGTCAACAATGTTGAGAAGGTGACATCACTAAGACGCTTGACTTCCGTCAAGGGGTCGCAATTCAGCATTCACCACCATTCAAAAGGTTGGTGCATGACTACAATGATATCAAATAGAGTCTGCCATAAAGATAAGCTTATGTGTAAACTTCTGTGTCCTGATATGAAATTTTTGTTATAAACATAGCACTTACAACTGGTCAGGATTTTTCAGTAGCCAATGCTTATTTCGCGTCAGGTGTACATGACACCCGGGCATAGTACTTCATAATAGGCACATGTGGTAAAAATCTTCTATTAACAGGAGACGTCAATGCAGATGTTACTTAGGGGTTAAAAACTGAAAAATGTGGCAGCCGCTTGTGGAATTCAGTACAAGACAATCATCTGACTTGCTTGAAGTCAGGCAGCCCCACGTACGTGTGAAGTTGTATTGTTTCAGTATTAAATTTGACTTTTGCAAGCTCCAGCCTCAATGTTTCAGCTTGGTCAACGGTTGATTGCGCTACGAACAGTGAGCACTTGCCATTGACGTTTGAAATAATGAGTTAGGTTGCCCCGTTAGCTTAATATGTACTGAGGTTTATAAGATCCTCTAAAGTTTATTAATAATTCCTTGCCTCATTCTCGTCTTTAGCAAATACGAGCTTGAAGTCAAAAGTCTTGAGCGTCTGTTCTGTATTAAAGAATACCCGCGAGAAGCTGAATTCCTCATTTTGTCTGATAAGCAGAACTCTAATACTCTTCGGTGGACATATGAGTGTTCGAGAGTTTATAGGGGCCGAAAGACCGCCCGGAAAAAAATTATGAGAGATGCCGTAGTGGAAGTCTCCAGAAATTTTGACCACCTTGGATTCTTTAACGTGCACCCAAATCTGAGCACATGGACCTACAACATGTAAAAAAATGCTTCCCCAGGTTGTAAATGCACATTTTTTTTGTCCCCACAAGAAGTAAAAGACTTGTTGGAAGTATTGCTAAAGGTTAGAAAGTTATTTTACTAACAACTTATCATCCTTTCAATGAATGCAATGAGTGAGGAGGAATTCACTGAAATTTCTAGGGCTGA